TAAGATAAATCTTGAAACTGTATTGATTTTAAAGCAATATCAATATCATTGCAGAAAAGCTAAACATGACACTTTGTGTAATTATCAGAGAATATTGAATTACGAAAACAAATTGAAAGTATTTAACAGAAACATTTAGGAGGTAGGTCTTCTGACGTAGTTTTAAAAGAATACCACTTGAACAGTTGTTGTTCTGTTAGTTTAGAAAGAGAGAAATTTTAGATTGAAATTTGATTATTTTGTAACAAGATTTGATTGAGTTAGATAAATTTGTATCTTTAACCTTATCTGTTTATGTCTACGAATCCTCCTAAGTTAATCAAAATAGTGTAATACATCACCGCGCAGTCATGGAAAGGGGCAGTTAGGGTCAACAGGTGCAAGAGCATTACTGAATATACAAGGAGGCTAAATTATTATTTCTAGTTCTCTATTTGAATTAACTTTATTTTTCAGTGCATATTCGGAATAATTTGCGGATGTAGTATTGGTCTTATTATTTCGAATGTAATTTGCATTTTTGAACTGTTAGACGGTGTAGTATTTTTTTATGTAAAAATTGTTTTTAATTTTTTAATGTTAGAAGTGCGTGCATGTGTTATACGGTATAGGTTTTGCTCATTGTGAAGGCCAGAGGGGGAAATTTACAAGATAATGAATATTTTAATACATTTGTTAGACTTTGTGATTGCAATGGTCAGATTAAGTCTTCTCTGGTGTCCATAAAATAGATCATATCCATATAATGATCGATCTTTGGTACGAACAGAATCATGTAGAGAAAGAAAAGCAATTCATTGTTTTCATAACGAATATGATAAAGGGGGTTTCTTGTTTACATTGTCAAATCATATCCCAGGAGAATAGGCAAAAAAGAACAAATAATTCACGACTTTATAATTTGTTTTCATTATAAACAGCATTTAAAGATATTTTTCCCTTTAGTTTCTTCTTTTGAATTACTTGTTGTGATCCTTTTCTTTGTTGTAGATTATTATCAGATTTCACATTGAATTTTAATGTCTTTTATTTCCATTTTCTTGATTATCTATTGATAATGTATCTTTTGCATTATGACATAGAGAAATTAATGAAATTCTGTCTGAAAGATAAACACCCTTTATTCTGCAGAATAATTTTTTAATCTGTTAAAATAGAATAGAACAAAGAGGTTCAGTCCAATAACTGAACACTAAACACTGGACACTTTTAATTTGCAATTTGATTTAGAAAAACATGGGATTTTCAATATCCCATGGGACAGGGGAAAATCCCATGGGATTAACCATTATCCCATGGGATTTTTTTGGGTCCCATGGGATATTTGTAGTTCCATGGGATTTTTTTTGGGGTTCCCATGAGATAATTATAGTCCCATGGGATTTTACCCTGTCCCATGGGATATTGAAAATCCCATGTTTTTCTAATTCAAATTGCAAAATATATATAATAATAACAGCAGAAAAACAATCAATTTATAGAATCCCATGTAATTCCGCACATTTTGGTTATATACACGACACTGAAGCTCTAAGGAGAGGCGGCGGCGGATTTGCAAATGAGTGTTTTGCAAATTAAAAGTGTCCAGTGTTACTTATTTAAAAACGTTCGAAATGGGAGGAAAATTGTAACATCATAGTTAAATAATACGTAAAAAGCCCAACAGCAATAAAAAAAATTGGACAGTATGAAAGACCAAATTAATCAACACCCGTCTCCTCCGAGAAAATGGATGAAGTACTAAGGTATACACAGACAGCGCTTTATACGAACTTAATTTAGAAAGTGTTTTATTCCTTTTTCGGTGCAACTGAATTGACCTCAATCGGTTATATGCTTTTCCCAATTATGTGAAGAAAAGAATTATAACAAAACAACCTTAAAGAGGATAGTAAAAGTGGTAATTTGTATCAAGCCCATGTTCCATGTTGCCTATTTTCCCGACAGAATCTACGATTATAGATATTATTACGAGGCCTTTTCAAAATCAATTTTTAAACTAGGTACACTAGGGTTGAAAAGCGCACATACATTTCATCTCGATTTCTAGTAAGTGTTCTACAACTAATCTTTCCGTGCTTTTGTCTAGTTCCTTAACTACAATCAAATAACGTATCGTTAACTTTAGTAATAAAGCATATGAAAAAGTGGAATTAATTATTTTTGGAGCGTAAAACAATCGTTGAATGTTGTAGATAATTAAGTGGTGGACCTTTTAATTAGGTTGATTTTGACTTTTCGACACTACACTTCCATACAATCTTATCAACTAAAAATTTTTCTTTTGAATTATATTATATGGACCGTTGGAAAAAACTGATTGCAAGTGTTTCTGCTGAAGTTCTTATACTACTTAAGTGGTTATCGACAGGTTGTAGGCATTCCTATGTGCATCAATTGTACCACTTAAATAACAGACTTGTTTCTGTATTATTATGAATCACGGTGTGTGGCCAAATTCAGTAAAAACGCGTCTAAATTTCATTTATTTGATAAATTCAACAACACTTACTGTTATATTGATAATACGTTTTTTTTTTAAATTATAAAGAATAATCAAGAATTCCGTAAATATATATTACCGAAATTAACCTAAAGGAACTTACTCAAAATAAATCAAATATAAACAGTAATAAATGTCCTTTCCTTATAACATGTAGATATTTCACGTTACGGAAAACTCTACAAGAAACAATTATGACAAAAGGGACAATTTTCGTTCCCTGTTAATTTTCCTTTGTCAGGATACATGATTTTGTTATTAATTGTAACTGACTTTAAAATAACCTCCGTAAATTGATAGTGCTCTCAGATCTGTCCTTTTTGTCTTTATTTTTTGGTGCTTTGTATCGTTCTGATGAGTTAAACCCTTTTTAACTGATTTATATAGTTTGTTTTATGCTTTACTGTTAAACACTTGCCCCAAGTTATGGAGAGAGCTGGGCGCCCACAAGCATGTTAAACTCCGCCATATTCTGTATGCGCCTGTCCAAAGGCTGTAATTCAGTGGTGGTCGTTTGCTGCTGTAAATGATACTTGTTTTTCGTATATTGTTTTGTACATAAACAAATGTCTCGTTTCAACTGTTTTAAATTTGTCCTTTATAGCTTGCTGTGTCGTATATGTTTTGCTCATTGTTGAAGGTCGTGCGGTGACCTATATGTATGCTAACTTCAACGTCAAGTGGGCTCTGGTGGAGAGTTGTCTCATTTGCAATCATACCACATCTTCTTATATTTATATTTATTTATTTATGTTAATGTAATCGAATTTATGAAACATGTAGCTTTTATAGAATACTCTTAAATATCAAATACGTGTATACAGTGAGGGTTGCAACGAAATATAAAGAAATATTAATTTGTCTGTATTGTTTTGTGTGCATATAACAATTGTGAAAACAGAATGCATTAGGTAAAGTACAATTCAATATTGTAAGGTGAATCAGGGATTTTAATTTAAATCAATAGATTTTTTTATATATAATTTTCCAACAGACCGATACAAGATTGCGGAATTTTTATTTAAATATAATAATTACTATGCATAACGGAGCTTTTATTCGAGCTGCAGGTAGTGTAAAATTGTCAGATTTTGTTTAAAGTATACATGCAAAACAATTTTGTCTGATAAAAAGAAAGCAAATGATATACTTGTAAGATAAAATATGAAAAAAATACAATGATATCCTTTTAGAAAATGAATAGAAAACTGGTGCCACAGGACTTATATTCGTGCATTAAAAAGAAAATAAGGAAATTCCCTACACATTCGTTCATAAAAGTGAGGTTATCTGAGTAATCTCCCCTTATTAGGCTTAGTCGCTAAATAAATGGATCATACAACAAATGTTCTGTATTTTTTTAACAGTCGTAATAATAACAGAAAACACTAAATTTTCTTCATTTGAATGAAAGTCTTACCAATAAAATACATTTCTGTTCTCAACTTTTGTATGTTTGATTAAATATCTAGACCTATTTTGTTCTGCTATTTTACAATAAAAGATGGCGGAAGACACCCGATCTACCTTAATACCATTATTATGCTTCTGAACTGTTTATTAGTTTAACTATATACATCAAACGGAACAACGGTGTGAATTGATGGGTTATTGTTTATTTAATTATAACCCTCAGTAGCAATATTTCATGTAATGTCAGGACAGAGTCTGTCAAACTGAATTACGGGTGACATTTTGACTACAACTTGAAAGTGGGAGTATATTTGAAATAGCGGGAAACATTTTAAATATGACCTAAGGACCCTGACGTATTTACTGCACCCTCTCTACACGAGGCATCACCTTTTGGACCAAATTTTGGTGTGTATTAATACACCACAAACAATGAAAGAGCCCCTTTCCACTATAATGTTACTGTCTATAGGGAGAAGAACTGTACAGTTGGTCCGATTTCTTTACCCAAGCCAATCCTGGGTTTTTAAAATCCGACCTGAGTAAACAAACTGCCGCTTTTGGGAGAGTTTCTGTGACCTGCACCTGGTTGAAATATGATATCAAGAAATTTCCATTTAATCTATTACGATATTATAGTATATATAATTAAACTTTTTCATTTTACAAGAAAATTATCTTCGCAGTAATGAATTCAATTAAGTATCTTAATTCCCTGAGGTATGATATTCTTATCCATTCATACATTGTATTGAAAGTTTGCACGAACAGCTATGGGTTAATGACATCTATTTCTGCTCTTTGAATGTAATAAGCAGGATTTCATCAACCATAATAAAACCTATTCAGTGTTATTCCTTCATTAATATTTGTCTATTCTTCGTATATGTTGAAAACAAATATTGTCAGCTAAACTTTTATAAAGACAGTAGCGAGGTTATTTGTACCAGGACCATATTTTAAGTCGCAGTAAATTACAATAACAAATTAACTACTATAAAATGTATCCAACATATTAGTTGTAAAAACTTCCAAATTGTAGTAGCATTTGTATATTTATTTCAATGTGTATTATCTGTTTTAGAAATGGCAAGAACTTGATAAACTGCACAGAAGAAAACAGCAACGTTCATGTTGTAATTAACAATGACGCCGTTATGGGTTTCCTTAGCAGAACTTCGAGAATATGAACGCAGAAGAATGAGCGGGAATTTCACAGTAGCAGACGACAATGAAGCATATGACGATTCCATCCTACCATTGCTGACCATTGCACATGATTTATACATATATTATGTTCCAGTTATCATTTGCCTCGGGACGCTTTTAAACCTGTTCATTACTCTGGTGTTATTGAAAACACGTTTACGAAAGAGATTTCACTCACATATTGTCGCGGCCATTGCAATTTGCGACATTGGATTTTTAGTGGCTTTGCTATTTATTTGGATTAAGGATCAGGGTATTGAAATATACAGAGTTCCCGGATTATGTCAAATGGTCATATTCATGAGTCATTTCTTTCCGTTTTTGTCATTTTGGCATATGATTGCTACATGTTTCATTATAATGATATGTCCTAAAAATCATTGTTTGACACATACTTGCAACAATGTTGGCAAAGCAAGAACATTGGTAATTTCTCTTTCGATATTTACGTTTACTATATACATCTATAAGACTTGGACAAACGGAGTTGTAAGCGTAAATGGAGTAAAATTCTGTACGATTCTACCGGAAACGGAAGCAGCCATGAGCATCTTAAACATTTTGGACATGGTTGTTCTACTCCTGTTGCCATTTTTCTTGTTGATATTCTTTCAAATTCTTACAGTTATCAATTTCATCCTGAAAACTGTTGTTACCAAGAGTATAGGAAGATCATATCTTTGCAGAGACTATTTCAAAGTGATCTTTGCATATTCCATTTGTTTTCATATATTTGTTGGTCCGGGATGTATTTCAAAGATATTAGTTTTATTCCGGATGACACATGATAAAACTCCAACTTACAATTTCAAGGATATAATTATCGAAAATTTCATCCAATATATATTTTACACTTACTTTGCCGTCAAACCATTGGTCTATATGATTGTCTCCAGGTCTTTCAGGTATCATTTTAAGGAGCTTATTTCAAAGGCAAAGCAAACTATAAATATAACACGAACTTTGGTTGCCAACAGTCAGTCTCAAGAACAAACCTTGTTGTAAATGCGTATAAACATAAACGTTAAAACCATTTGGAGATTAAGATTTCCGGTTGCGAACGAACACGAGGCGTTCTACTTCAACTTATTGAATTACACAGGAAATGTAATGTCCGACTATAGTTTCGTGTTTTATTGTAGTGGAAACGTCCCATGGATTTAAAGGATTAAAGTATCTGTTACTGAGGTTAACGATTGAGCCCACTTGTCATGTAAATTTGAATTCAATTTCCTATGTTCGTGTGCAAAGTATGGTGTGGATGCTTGAGAAATATTGCGTTTTTGATGACATTTATTCACTCAAAGAAGATGGAAAATCAGTTTTTAAATAATGATGTTACGGCCATGACATAAGACAAATTTGTTGAAAGTAACACCAAGCAAGAATGGCACAAAATTAACTTTTATCATGTTTTTCATTCGAATAAACTTGCCTTTAGATAAACTCAGTTTCATGAATTCATGATCAGTTTGTAATATCTATAACATAATTCTGATTAGTTGAATTGCACGATAATTTAAATGTATGTTTGTTCAATATTACATATGTATACTCATTACAATTGAAAAAGTTTTCTAAAACTTATATTATTATTTCTTTTGCTTATAACTGGTAACATTTTAAAATATCCAATGCTATATTTTCATACAGACTAAATGGTCTCTAAACATAATCAGTAAACCTTAATAGTTTAAATACAAATAATGATAAATTACATAGTATCTGTATTACTTATAATTCCATTAAAATACACTTAAATTATGCCATCATCAAAACTTTCATCAGCAAATCCATACCGGTGACGTCATGAAACGGGTGTTTACATAATTTAAAAATTAATTGGGTAACATGCTGCATTCCAAAATAAGCCATCATTGGAATAATTTGAACTGATTGATTGAATGTTATATAATTTTATCTTTGATTAGGTATTGTCATTGTCCTCTTAATTTTTTGCCTGGCTTAATTTCAATTTGTGAAAGAATTTTGATTATATGAAAAGTTCATTTCAATAGTGTACATTAAATTCGTTTCGGAATAAGAAAAAGCGAGAATTGCAAATGCGCTTGTAAGAAAGCCTGCATTTTATTTGAAATTAAACCAGTAAAGTAGTGTTTGCTAATTATTTCATATTTCATATCCAAACATGTTTTTATATATATATGTCTGTGTTCATTTATTCAAATACCTGAAACAACATAAAACGAATAAAAAGAAAAGGTAGTTAATGGGTTTTTTTTTTGTTGTTCTTTGTTTGTTTTGTTTGTTTTTTGGGGGGTTTTTTTTGGGGGGGGGGGGGGAGGGGGTCAAGGTTTTACATTTTTTGCATTTGCAAAGGTAAAATGGGAAAACAAAAGACGTACATGTAGTGCAACCGTCGTTACGACAGAAACCAAACGACACAAAATAAAAGGCATCTACAACATTAGAGGTCCACATATGATATCCAACAAGTAGGTAAATGTCTATACAATATTTCATGCTCAAAATCGCACCGTGTCTAAAACATTTGTGTGTAACAGAGATTATCAAAGATCTGCCATCAATGCCGAATTCCCTAAATTCAATAATATTATGTCTAAACAAAAGACAGCCATTGACAAGATCTCTGACTTGAAACAGGCAAGTCATGTGATGTTGTTATCAATAAATTAAAATCCAACGAAATATTATTGCTATACAACTACGAAAAATCACGGTTCTACATTCTGTCGATTCCTATATATTGGCATTGCACTAGATCATGTTTTTCACTGACTGTAAGTGACGTCTTTACACTCACTCCATTGGATGTTGGATGTGAACTGATTGAGATTTAAGACTAAGATACATGATTTCTTTATTAATTTTTATTGGCTTTGAACTAGCTTTAAGTAACTGCGAGTACTGACAGATCTGTAAATATACTATCTATAGTATTTTGTTAGTTGATATTGTGCACTGTTCCAGGTAAGGTGGAGGGTCTGGCTCTCGCAAACTTGTTTAACCCCGCCACATTTTCCTGTCCCAAATCAGGTGCCTGTAATAAAGTGCTGTCGTTTGTTGATGTATATCATGATTGTTTATCGTTTATTGTTTTGTACTTAAATCAATCTATTTTTCTGGTTTAATTTGTTTTACATTTGTCCTTTTCGGAGGAGAATGTTCTCATTAGCAATCATACCGTATCTCTTTATTTTTAAATTAAACAAGATTGTTTATATATCTCTTACTTCCTCCTATTAATCTCATCCATTAAAACCACAAATGGTACATAAAAGAAAGGTAAAATAATATCTCAAGAAAAGCACAAATCTCTTGAAATCAATAAAAAAAAAAAAACAAGTACAAGTACAAGAAAAACAGCAATTGATTTGAATAAAGGAGATGTGTGTAATACGTCACGACCGAATTAACCAATAAAAGACATCTTCAGGCCAATAGGCTGTGTTCAACAACAGTCCGTGAATTATGCCGTATTAAAGAATTTTTGCAGATACCGAAAGCAAACTCAAAGCTGCTGATCTCAGATTATGTCGTTCTATACTCTAGCATTAAATTTTGTATAATTTTATAAGTTAGACATCATATCATTAACCAAAAAAGAAGACGCAATAGTTTGTTATGCAAATGTTAAAGCATTTTAAAATTGTACCAATGGATTAATGTGTATCCCCATACACCATGCATTGCTATTATAAATTGGTACCTTCTTGATTGTAAACTGCAACCGAAGTAAAGAAGTAAATTGTCATGCTGAAAGAATTGTCGTGATGCTAAATTTATATATTGCGTCTAGGTCCCTGTGGTTTATAACACATATTAATTAACATAATATACTTACGTGTATATCATATATTCCCATGGGGACTAACTGTGCACCACTTATTGCGGACCTGTTTCTGTATTGTTATGAGTTACAATTTATGACTGAAATAAGCAAAGACCCATCGAAACAACATCTGATTCAAAAATTTAATAACACTTTTAGATATTTAGATGATATATTGGCTCTCAATAATGACGACTTCAGTATGTACACTAAAGAGATTTATCCTGCCGAACTGACTTTAAATAAAGCTAATACTAACAATGAACACTGCCCTTTCCTGGGTCTTGATATCTTTATCTTTAACGGGAAACTTAATACCAAAATTTATGATAAAAGAGACTATTTTTCATTTCCTATTGTTAATTATCCATTTTTAGATGTGACGTTCCTTTGTCGCCATCTTATGGTGTTTATATATCTCAACTTGTTCGATTCGCTCGTGTATGTAACAACGTGTTTGATTTCAACGAAAGAAATCTCTGCATTACTGAAAAATTATTACACCAGGGTTTTCAATATCACAAACTAGTCAAAACATTTACTAAATTTTATCATCGGTACAAGGACATCATTCGTAAATATAAATCAACATGCAGACATCTTATACGTTCAGGTATTTCACATCCAATATTTTATGGTAATATTCTTTACAAAGCACAAAAGTGTCGGCATTCACATGAAAAGCTAACCAAACCCTTAAACAGACTTATTCGGAAAGGATATAGTTACGATACTGTTGTCAAGTCATTAAGGATTGCATATTTTGGTATTAATATTGATTCACTCATAGGGTCTTTGCATCGGAAAAAAAACACATTTATTCTAAAACCAGTTGTTGGCATGATACGGGTTATGTTCTTCTCATATATTTTATGATGGTATGATACTAAACCCCTAATGGGAGGGATTGTACTTGATTTTCATAGGATGAAGACATAATCTTTCAATCAGTTTAATTGAGGTTTGGAGCTGGCATGTCAGTAACTGCTAGTAGTCCTTTGTTCATTTATGTATCATTGTCATTTTTCTTAGTTTCTTTTGTTACCTATTCTGACATCGGACTCGGACTTCTTTTAAACTTAGTTTTACTGTGCGTATTGCTATGTGTTTCTTTTTTCTACATTGACTAGAGGTATAGGGGAGGGTTGAGATCTCACAAAACATGTTTAACCCCGCCGCATTTTTGCGCCTGTCCCAAGTCAGGAGCCTCTGGCCTTTGTTAGTCTTGTATGTTTTTCAATTTTAGTTCATTTATATGTTTTGGAGTTTAGTGTGACGTCCATTTGCAAAACAAAATTCCAATACATTTAATAACGGCAAATAGCAAACAAAAGTAGCAAACCTTAAATAAAAAACTAAAGACTGAGCAACACTAATCCATAGTACGCGTCGTGTTAATGTTTCCCAGTGTTTGTCTGACTCTTCAATCAGGGAGATATTTCTTATAGAAAACACTAAAATATAAACAATGTGTCAACAGAAACGCAACACGTCAAATTTCAATCCTCTCTAGTCTCCAAGTTTGACAGTTTTGACAAACAATGGTCTTATCGGACAATCCTCCAAACAAGGCTAGACGTTACTTCAACGTGTGGTCTCGCATCTATTCTTTCAGTTTTAAAATTTGTTGTAAGTCTCATCGGGTTAAAAAGCAAAACTCATAAAAATATTGTTCATATAAAATGTGATACCTGTACCACTGGACCAATACATATAAAGTAACCCTATTTCTGCCAGATGTGATAATGTGTAACCCCCGGATTCATGGTTCCATTGTCATACATATTGACCGAATGCAAAGGATGATTGTTAAATTGTATCGCTTTTGAAACATTTTTAAAGGGGTTTGCGTACGGTTTAAATCTATCAGCAAAGGGGGAGAGAGAGAGAGAGAGAGAGAGAGAGAGAGAGAGAGAGAGAGAGAGAGAGAATAATTTATTTTTAACTTTTTAAATGAATAATTACCAGAACAACGTACAGGTTAACACACATAATGTTTCTACGTATTTATACATCCCTGGCTTCAAGATTTTAAGGTTTGAGCGTTCTTGATGAAGGTGAATCCAGAAAAACTCGGCGTCGGACGCACGAAATTTATAAAGTGTTATTTTCATGTAGGTGGATTATTTTTCGTAGGTAAACAATTCAGCAATTTGTTTGTCACAGTTTTATTTTGTATACAAATCAAAACTTAAAGCAGCTAAGATTGAGACATTTTTATTCAAATTCAGAGCGGCTTAAACCACAATTTAGAAATTATACAAAATTAGATTTTTTTTACCAAATGAAACCTCTAAAAGATTAGACTGAGCACCTACTAAATGACTTGGAAGTTAATCGAAACATGATTTTTATATCGGGAAGGCTGTCACAAAATAAAGGAGCAGTATTAATGAATCCTTGTAAAGCACCATTTTGTATTTTAATCAGAGAAATGGTTCATTTTATAAACAACAGATTTTCCTTCAATATTCCTGAATGCGTGTTAAATGCATTACATATTAACAGTCATATTATACTATAAAAAAATTATAAGACATCATAACTATTTTCAAGTAATCTGGAGGTTTTGGATTATTGTATTTTACATCATTTAAATTAAGGAAACTGTCCTTTATGTTCAGGGAATTGAATGAAAATAAATCTAGAGAAATGTACATCTTTCAATTACATTAATTCAATCAGTCACTTTTTAAAAATAAAACTCAAAATGTATTATTTTTTATTTCTTCCTTTATTTAAAAAGCTAACACAATAACTAGTTTATGTGTAGCTATATTCAGTCTACCCCAGAGCGAATAGGACATAGATTGTAACCATAGGGTCTTGTTTAGCACAGTTATGTATATAATATTAAAATAAGCAGATGTGGTATGAGTGTCAGTGACAGAATATCCACGAGAGACCAAATGACGAAGATGTTAGGAACTATGGATCGCCGTACGGCTTTTCACAATGAGCAAAATCCATACCACATAGCAAGCTATAAAAGATCCCTACATAACAGACTGTTCAATATTTAAAATGAGGAAACCAATGAATAAAATGAGATCTTCATGTACCAAACACGAAAAACATATATATCTAGATTATATTTATTGTTTTGCAATTCTAAATCCCAAACTTCCATAGAAAAGTCAAACCACAAAAACGAATTGAGAACGGAAACGGGGAATGTGACAAAGAGACAACAAGTCCATGTGAATTTCAGATGACCATGCAAAGAAACTTAAAATAAAAGTAGAAAATTAAAAAAATGATATTTGATATGGGATAATAGCACGCGCCCCACAGTTCCTTAGAAGCCGGAGCCCACCTATCTTGACCCGGGATCCATACGTACGGTGCTGATAGTCCTATAATTGAAGCCTGTAACCCTTTAAGTGGAGCCCCATGTCATAACAGTAGAGCCCGGAGAC